ATGTTCACCTATGTATATTCCCAGGATATTCCCGCAATGTTCTGTATATTTTTTGAACATTCTGGGATATTCATAGAATATCAAATGCTATCTGGGTATGATATAGTAAAATCAAAAATTAAAAGCAGCAAATTTTAGAACGAGTACAACTTCTGTAGATTTGGGTGTACGTTCTCGTGGAAATAAAACTCATTGAGATACATCCCCAAAAAATGATTTATTTGTAGATTAAAATTACATTCCCACAGAAAGCGCTAAGATTGTGAAACATGCGCATTCCATTTTAACCAAAGTTATGGGAACTTATTCGTTCCCATCTGACCTTGCATTTTTGAAATAATTAATATGTTGCACCTTTAGATTTAAATCAGCATTTTTTTTTAATATCTCAATTTTGAGTCATTAGCTATTGAAATGAAAACAAACATATTGTAACCAATAAAATCCTACCTAATGTGCCGTGTCCTTTCAGAAAGTTGGTTACCAACAATGCTAGCCGTACTTGATCCACGGCAGCTCTAAAAAGTGTGTGTGAATTCGTTTTGTACTAGTCGCGCAGATTTTTCAGCCATGACGTTTTCCTCCTGCCTGGTCCGCGACTGCTGTTTTACACTGCAAGATGTTTTGTGAGAGTGAGAGTGTGGAGAGGATCTCAGTGGTTTTATTTAAGCGGTGTAGTATTGCCACGTTGGTGATTCTTTCAGACCACGTGACTCTTAGCAGTCTCCTGTAGGCCCACATCTCGAACGCTTCAAGTCAGCTTTCTTCGTTTTTGTTGATGGTCCAAGCCTCAACTCCGTACAGTAGTGTATAGTATATCCGCCAGGACCTCATGTTTAACCCGGTCGAAGGCCTTTTGAAAGTCTATGAAGTAGGCATAAACATCAGCCGACATGTCACGGCTTCTCTGAGCGAGGACATTAATGTCAAAAAGTGATTTTCTCGTGCCATTACGGAACCCAAATTGCGTTTCACTTCCAAATTGCGATAATCCTCACACTTTGCATACAGCCGACCATGATTGATTTTCATAAATATCTTCAACAGATGGTTCATTAAATTCATRTTCACACCCAATCTACGGGTACGTTAAAAACTAGCATCATTTTAATATTGAGCATCAACATACTTAAGCTACCTTAACCTAATCTAACTTAACCYAATACATCCTCTCTTGCTTCCTAAACTAACTTATATCTACTCCATGGTCCTCGATGTGGTGGAGGAACTGGTTATAGCTTTTGGTCTTATTCTTAMGCTGTGTCCGCAGGGAGAGGTCTGCTATCACTCCGRAACTTTTTGATGCAAGAATGCCTGTTGGTGGGATTCTTGTTTTGTCGGACCTTATCCAGGAACTTTGACGTTAAGTTCCAGATGTGGTCCAGCAGGTCTTCTGTCCTCAGGTCTTGTCTCAGCGTGCTGTTTCTAACATAGTAGCGAGCCTGTGCTACAATTGTGGCTGCCAACTGGTCGTGCAATACTAGACATTTGCCATAGATAATCTCAAGATATGTTATGTTGGACCTCCGTGGTAGCTTTTGTCCTCCTAGTTCTAGTAGGCTTGGACATAGTTGCCTTCCGGCTGCCTTCTTCTCCGGGCTGAATTCCATTTCCAATCCCTGCTCCATTCCTGGATCTTGACGAGATGTGTTGGAGTTTGGCTGTCATTCCAGGACCTTTTTCGTTTCTTTTATTTCGTCGTCAGAATGTCTGCCATATAGATGTTGAAAATTAGGGGACCTACCTAACATGGACCCCTGAGGTACTCCTGACATCACCGATCTGATCGTTGACATCTGATCATCGGCTTTGACTTGGAAGCTGTGTCCAGACAAGTAGCTGCGGATTAGCTGGATTAGTTCTCCGGAAACCCCGCCCTGATCATCTTGGCAATTAGGCCCTGACTCCTTTGCCATATCCAGAAAGGATACACCTCACCATGAGTTTGCTCAGTGTAGGCAGTAGACTGATGGGCCTGTAGGACGTAAGCAGCTTCCTGTGCTTGCCTTTTTACTTCCAATGCCATTATTGCCTTCTTCCAGGTGGTCGGAAAATATTGAAGGTTCATCATTCGATTTGCCACTGTGGTAAGGTCCTCAATATAGCTGTTTGCGGTAGCGTTTTGAGGACTTCGTTTGTAATTCCATCGTCCGGGGGTCTTTTTTCTTTTGGTTTTCTTGTTGATATCCTAGATGATCTCTTTGGTGACTCTTTTGGATCTGGTGGCTGCCAGTTTTGGAGGTGAGCGGCTACCAACGCATTGACTATCCTTTCTTTCTGGGTTTTCCCAGATCTGGAGCTCTAGGTGGGTGGCAAAGAGATCGGCTTTTTCCTTGGGATCCACAGTGGTGATGTCGTTTTCTTGGATTGGTGCTATTCACTTACTTGGGCCTGCTGTGAGGACCTGACCAGCTTCCAGATTTCTTTTCTTGACTCATCAGCCTCTATTTCGTGCATGCGATCTTCCCAGAAACGCGATCGAAGGATTTTCATGTCTTCCTTGATCGCATTCTACAGTCGGTTGGATTGTCTCTTCAGGTGTGAATCTTATGTTCTCATGGCTCTGTGTCTTGTCCGGTATCTCTCTCTGATTTTGGCTTTTAACCAGGGAGGAATTTTGTCCATTTCGACTATCGGAACTACGGATAGATTTGTTGAAACTGCCGGGCGTTGTTAATATCACTGGTGAGTCTTTCGGCTGCCTGGTCCAGGTGCTCCTTTATTGTGAGCTGATGAATCCTGCTGGCGCTGCCCTATGTTCTCTGGAAAGCCTGCCTGAAGGTGGTCCTTCTAGTCGCAGTGGAACTGTTGACGTCGTTTGGTTCAATGTGCATGAGAATCGGCAAATGATCCGAAGACAGTTTCTGCAGTACTTCGGGGTTAGACAGCCTTCATGCGTTCTTCTACAGGAATATGTCCAAAATCTCATCTTTGCCATTATATGCGAAGAGGGTTGGCTCTAGAGGTGCGGCTATGTCCAATATTGCATTTCTGAGTTCGTTTGATAGCATGATGCCTCCAGGAGTGTGTAGTTGCAATCTGGGAAAATCCTTCGAACAGCTTCGTGACTCAACGAAGCGCGTGGACTGACGTATATAGATATAATTTCAAATGATCAGTGTAGGCAAATGCTATAGATTCGATAGCAGGAATTAGATGAAATTTTCTTGATGACTTAACACTGTTGGTATACTCCTGCAGCAAAAACTCAATCTACACTACGTTTTTTATTTTCTATTATGCCGAAACCTATCGCAGGGTTACAAACTATGAGCTACTAAAATGCTGAAAATAAACCCTAGTATTTATTTTATACTTGTAGTTGCAATTTCGTTGAGAATTGGGGTTCAAAATATTTTAACACACCTTTTAATCTTCCTAATTGTTATTAAACTTGATAGGTATAAATTTTGTTTTTCGTAATCCGCAATCTCAATAAATGCTGTAATTTAATTTTTCCATCAAGAAAAAGTTTCTTCAAACACGTTTTTTTCACTTTTGCAGTCACTGCTTTGTTTGCGTTCCGATCATATTTTCCCGACGACATGGTCTTATAGCTTTCTCCCCTGTCCCTTTTTACTTGCTGTACAGTCCTTTTCCAACCATTCATATCAAGTTTGCTTTTTCTAACACCCGCCATTTTTGTCTCTTGTTTTTCTACTTGTTCTACTCGTTAGACGACTTTGGCGAAGATAGTAAAAGTGAATAGTAAAACACGACCTTTACGTACGACCTTCCTGCCGGCGAGACTAGGTAATACATGAGTAGGAGTAGGGACATAACAAACACACTCGTTATATCGTAAACAAAAATGGCCGTATAACGGCTGCAAATAAGGGATGTGGTCGGCATGGTTAAAAAGTAAAATTGTTTGTGGTGCAAGAACGGGATAAGTATCACGACACATATACCAATTTTGCTTCAGGACATCGTAAGGGATAACAATTGGCGGGGTTTCCACTAAGTTTTTAAGCTGAGTTCATTGACGTAGCAATGGCGAAGTTGCCTTTTTCCATATAGTACAGAATTACAAAATTTTAGAAGCCTAAAACCAGCTCAGAAAGTTGAACAAACATATTCAGAGACAATGTAGACAGGATAAAAACCACCGTAACCAACACTCATGACCTTACATAAAACTGTGTGCTTAAGATCACAAGCTTGAAGTGAAAACTTAAACAAAGGGGGAAGGCAGCAATAAATAATTTTCTGAAATAAATAGAAACATTTCTATTTTCACAAAGTAAAATAACATTTACAATATACAGGGTGATTCACGGTCGATGGCGTATTAGACGTTTAAGGAGAACGCGCAGCACGATATCTCTTCAAATTGGTACCACGAAGTTAGCGGTTATGCTCTATCGACATAAAATATTTGCAGCAATGCGAGGTTACCGAGTACCTCTAAAAGTACATACAACTTTTATTTTTTACATGGGACACCCTGTATATTATTGAACGCATAGATTGGCTTTTTAAATAAGACTATTTTTGCTAAACGATCTCTATATCTATCTCGTTATAATCCTCGTTAGCTCAACCTGCAACAAACTCGACTAATATATATTTCGTTCCAGGTAACCAAACATGATAACCAGGATAAACAGAACATACAGTAGTGCAACTAGTGAGCCTACCACGACTGAGTTCTTCTTTGATCTAAGTAAGCCTACCTCCGTTAATAAAGTATCCGTTCGGCTTTCACATTACAAAATGTTTATGTTTTCAGATGAAATGTTGCAAATGAACGAAAGCCTAAACAACTCAGAACTTCCCTTTTGCGATGGTAGTGACAGAGTACAATATGAACGAAAATATCTCATACTGCCAATTTTGCTAATCAGTTGCTTCATTGCTATGGTCGTTAATATCATTGTCATATCCAGCGCGTACTGGATTCGTTGTTCGATGACCCCCAATCTTAAGATCAGTTTAAGCTTGGCAGCCGCCGATGCCACCAGTTCTACTATGTATGGACTTTTACTGCTGATCTCGGAGTATGGCTTCAGCTTGGGCATGATTCCTTGCCTCATAGACCTACTACGACTAAGTGGAATTGGTAAGTAAAGTACTAAAAGTTAAGAAATGTAGGTAGCGTAAAGTGTAGGTAGCGTAAAGTCCACAAAAAATCTGAAAGGGTCAGGAGCACTTGTTTGAATGAGTCAAGCACCGGGTTCAAGTGTCAGTATTTTTTAATTATTTAAAATATGAGAATTAGTTCGGTTGATTCTCAGGACAAACGTTTCTTGAGAAATGATAACGAAGAACAGAGATTCCTCACTATCAGCGAAGATTGAGCAGCTAATGGGACATGCTCTAGGCGTGCCCGGGTAGAACGGCCGCCTATAGTTTGGGCCCTTTGCCGGTATGTTGAATTTTTGCGTCAGCACCTGATTGGTCGTCTTTCACATAAAACTAAATTGTTGCTCACAATGTCACGAAGCAGCTGGCCGTTTTTTGGCCTACATTTTCAGAATTATTCAGCCTATGTCAAACATCTTAGGTTCAAACTGGCGGTTGGTATAGGCAGTACCTGCTTTGGTCAGTTATATTAAAAATCTAGTGTGACGGTTTAATTATAATCATCATTCAGCTCTCTGTGTCCACTGTTGGACATAAGCCTCTCCCATTTCTGCCAATTTTCTCCTACCTTGAGCTTTCTGTATTAAGTTACCTGCACATCTCTTTAGACCGTCTGTCCAGCGTGTAGCGGGATTTTTCCTTGCTTCTCTTGTCCAAGCGCGGTCTACACTCGAGCAGCCGTTTCGTCCATCTCCCGTATGTCGCTCGTGTCACATGTCCAGTCTACGTCCACTTGATTTTGCAATTTTGACAAAAAAGACTTCTTCGTAAGTCTTTATTTCTTATATTCTCCGGTAGTAACACTCAAAACATGGACATTTCCACCTTGTGCTGTGTTACTTTAAGCTTATTAGCACTTGTGGTTAGTCTTAAGGTCACCGTTCTCTTCAGACATTGTTTTATGTGGTTTTTAAAGGCTTCCGAACGCTTTCCATGGGCTGCCCAACATGGTCTATCTCTTATTTTCGTAACGCACGTTTGGTTGTCTCTTGAGATTTGGATTTCATGGCCAAGATAATTGTGGTTGATCAACAGAGCCCCCTTTCATCACCAATCGAAATTTGCTCACTGAGAACCAAATTTGCCATACACTTTGATTTTGGGATATTCATTCTTAAACCTATCTCAGCGCAAACTTTTGTAGTTCTTGTAAGGTATATTTAATCTCTTCAATGTTATCTGAGAGCGAGACTGTGTCATCCGCAAAACTTAGATTTGTTTGGTTTGGACCATCTATATTTCAGTCTTTGCTTTCCCAATGGAGTTTTGAAAAAAGCAGGTTCCAATGTGATAGGCTCTGCTACATACGAATGAAGACACTTAATTGGTTACATACCCTTATTATCATTATATGCTCCTACAGAAGACAAGGACAAAGTCACTAAGGACTCCTTCTGCAACTTGCTTGAAAGAACAGTAGAAAGCCTGCCCAAACAGGGGTTGATATTACTATGCAGGGATTTCACTGCAAAAATAGATAACGAGTCAACTTTAAGGCCGACAACAGGTCAACATAGCCTTCAAAATATCTTAAACGACAATGGACAAAGACTAAGAGAATTAGCATCAGCTCATAGCTTGCTAATAAAGTCCACAACGTTCGCTCATAAAAACATCCGTAAATAAACCTGGGTATCCAATGACCATGTGACCTGTAACCAGATTGACCATGTCGTGGTGGACGCCAGGCATGGAAAGAGTATCCTAGATGTAAGAAGCCTTAGAGGAGTACACGGAGATCTAGAAGTAGATACAGATGATTTTCTGGCAAAAGCCAAACTCCAAATCGTCATATCGAGTAACAAAACCAAAAACTAACCAAACCACAAAATGGAAATTGAAAAACTACAGAATCGAGCAGAACAACAAAAAGACGAACAAGAACTAGAACAGAAACTCATTGAGAATGAAAATCGCAAATTGGATGTTGAAGGTTTGTGGAATTATATTGAACAAAAGATAAAAAAGACGTCTTAATGTATAGGGCAATAAAAAACGAAAAACAAGGGTATCAGCCCAGGTCTACTTCAGTTTTTCTTGGAATTTCGTAATCTTCGACCAGTTCAATGTTTCTAGCTCCTTAGGCATATGCGGTTGGGCTCGAAAGAACAATTTCTTCATTTCCACATCTTAATACTCTTTGAGGTATGTCCAAGATAAAACGTTGATTTTCCATTAGGTTTGGCCCAGTTGAACATTATCCATACTATCTGCAACAAGAACCAGGTGGGTAAAGGTAATACTGCCCAAAGTAAAAGTTGCCAAATGCGTACCTTTCATGGGTCTATTTTCTCCATTTGCTGATTCATCATAGTTCATTCCGGTATTTCTTCTTTCACTCGAATGGCGGCAATTAATAAGTACATCAGGTCTTACGATGGTGTGAGTTGAGCCAGTATCCAAAATCATCTCATTTTCTCGGCCACATATTGTCCCTGGTACTATTAAGCTGGATCCAGTGTTCTTGAGCCGAGAAATCGTAACCTTGATAGTAGATGGTGGGGCTTGGTAGCACCTAGCCAGCTTTCGCCCCTCAAAGCTGACTATTTTGGAGTTTTCCTGCTATCTTCATGGAGAAGCGGTTCTTCGTTCAAAATTTCCGGTTTTGAAATTTCGGCAATATTTTTGAATATGGCCTTCTTCACCGCAAGTCCAACAGGTTGGCTTCTCTCTTAGTTTTTGACGTCCCTCGAAGTCGCTTGGTCTTTGTTGATTATTGTCACCTAACTTTTTAAAGACTCTGATTTCGAACTTCCTCTCTCTCATTATCATATCATCATTTTTTTTATAAATTTTGCTTGTCCTGGTTCCTCGCAGTCGTCATCACATCTAGTACACCTAACACTTGACAAAGATCTGGTGGCGTTCTTGGCAGCTTCATATTCTAAAGCACGAGCAAGTGTTTGTAAAAGGTCTTTAGCGTGGTTGACACGTAGGTGCGTTGATATTTCCGAATCATGAATTCGATTAACAAATGCTTCGACTGCTAGCTCTTGAACTTTCTCCTCAAGTAGTGATGGAAATGCTAACCTGACTAGACGTAGAATATCCGCTTCAAATACTTGCATGGTTTCACTGTTCTTTTGTCGACTGCTTCTAAGCTGGGTTTTGTAGACTTCTTTCAAGTGTGTGTCACCATACCTCATTTGGAAAATTTGGAGCATGGCCGAATAGTTCTTACGGTCATCTTGTCGTATTGCTCTTAAAATTTCCGTTGCTTCGCCTCGTAGGGAAATAATAAGTGATGTTGCCTTCTCCTGATCATTCCACCCGTTAAATACTGCAGCGGCTTCAAATTGGCATAAATATGTGGACCATGCGACTTTACCATAGAATGTTGGCGGCTTGAAGCTTTCGGCTCAATTTTTATTGTATCAGATTCTGCATTGTGCCTGGTTACTTCTTGTCTAATTTTGATTATTTCTTCTTCCACATGTGCGTAAAGTCGGCAGATATTTTCATCAACTTTGTCTTGAAACTTGATGTTTTCATTTCTAACATCGTTCTGAAACTTCGTATTGTTTTCTTTCAGAACATTCTGGAACTTAACACTGTTTTCCTCAATGTTCTTTAGTTTGTCTTCAACGGTTGTCTTTAGGTTCAGGTCATTTTGTCATTCATTTTTTCTATTTTTTCGTCCATTTTACTACGGTTGTCGCTCATTTTGTCTTAAATCTGCATGAGCAGTGCAATCAAACTAGGGTTCTCCATTGCAGGGACTTCGTTCTTTGATTTACTTCTTGTTGCCATCAAAATTCAACTTCGATTCTGGTAAATCCCATTTCTGACACCAAATGTACCGTGGATGGCCGGGTATCAAACTCTTTCTTCAAATTCCAACTTTTATTCAACTCGGTATAACTTTAATTACGGAACAGGAACAAACTAACTTCAAAATTAACGTCAACTTCACAATCAATAACAATAACAAACGTAAAACTCGGAGTTCCGACTCGCGGGGTTTAACCTCTTCTTAACTCGGTCGCTGCTCTGACTTCACTGACTCCTCTGGTTCTCGTCGCCACTTATATAGTTTCCTCCAGGTAACCCAGACGGTTCTCGAAATCTCCAGCCCAGGTGCTAAATTTCCCGCTTGTCAGTGTCATGTTTGACAGTAAATGGGGCGCAAATGGGGCTCCCATTTACTGAAATACTATGAATTTCGATATCCAGATTACAAACGTGAGTACCCCAGGCCATTTCCGTTACAGTATGTTATTGTCTCTCTTATTTTCTTTGCTTTTGTTTGTCCATGGTTACCGGAGTTCTTAATAATTGCGAAGGAACAGGTATTTGTATAATAATAATTAGGTAGATTACCTTGAAAAACAATGTTGCCATCTTTCTGATCCAATTTTTTGCAAATATCTGAGTTTTTAATAACAATTATTTTTTTAGCAATTTCTTCTGTACTCCCAAAACACGCCCAGACTTCCAGAGGAATGACGCCAATTTTTAATCACCCTTTGTACAACTATAAGACTACATTTCCATAAAACTATGTTTCTATGTATTTATAAATATTTTATAAGCTAAGGACACCATAAACTTTAGCAGCGTATGTCAACAATAACGATTATTCCAAACCGCTTAATCAGAAATGTTTGCCACACAGATGCAGTAACAATTTAATAGTACTACTTACTTCTTTTTTCTACTACTACTTACTTCTTTTTGTACTACTACATTTGATAATATACAGTTATTCAGTCATGTCAATATTGAATAAAATTCAGTTAGGTGAAGCACTTTCCATTTCATATCTGGAGCTCGTCTATTGAAAACTCGATTATACTTAAACTACTTTGATACAAGTGCGGGGCAAGAAAATTGAAGAGCCTTTCGCATAGCAAAAAGCTGTAAATAATGCATGACGAAATGTACTTCAGCCAATTGGTTTATGGAATTTACTCACTTTTTTGCAATTATTATAAAAAGTGTATATTTTTTTCAGTCATTACGGTGGTCCATCTTCTAGCTTTAAGCCTCAATCACTACATTGGAATATTGAAGCCACTTCATTATAATTCTATAGTGACCAGTAGAAAGGTGGGTTCTATGATATTTACACTGTAAGTTATGACTTAGATTCAATCACGCAATTCTGCTTCACTGTATCTAGATAAACATACATATAATGGCGGTGTTTCGACCTTTCTTTGACGCCTTAGTCTGAACCAAAGACATTAATAAATAGGTAAAGCTAGTCAATCATACATTTCGATTTGTTTGAGAGCAACATTGAATTATATCAATCGGCGATTTATCAACGCAAAATAGGGGGAAGGGATAAAAGTACTAGGTACCGATCGATATACAGGGTTTCCCGGAATATGTGGGCATACTCTCGGATTATGGGCCGTTAAAAAGCAAGTTTGTAAGAAAAAATCCATAGGGAGTTATACGCCTACGGAGTTACAAGCCTCTAGCTGAGAATCGATTTTTTTTTAAATAACATTGCTCCCTCTGAAAAAGGGCCCATGAAAACCTTTTTAGCATATCGAACAAAGCACAATAATAGCCAATTTTCCCTTTTACAATGAAGATACGAAAATAATGTATTTGGGTAGCTTAAACTTTAAACCAAAAAAGACATTCTTGATTCATATCGATAAACAGAATGATTTTCGAGGAAAAAATATGTTTATTGATTACGGATTTTAATGGATGCACTGGTGGGCTGTGTTTGCTGTTATTTATTAGTTGTTTTTTTAACGTGCGAAATTAAGGTAAAAATTATTCGTCACTGTCTTTCAGTTAGCGATAGAGAGTTTACCAAAGATGACTAGAAATCCATCGGACATTCAGATCTTGTCGAAAAAAGTGCCGAATGCATATGGTACGTTTTCAGCTATTCTATGGGTCCAATAATTTCGCCATCTATTGGACATCCGAAATACGGGTATTTGAAAGACGTCGGAGCGCAGATATTTTTTTCTTAACCGTCCGCACCAGTCCTGGCTGATTGCGCTTGCGCGTATCACTGCCGCGTTGCAACACGGTTTCTTGTGGATTCTTGCACGTTTTTAGTTCAGTGACTGTTGCTGAAATTCATGCTTATTTCATTGTTAGTGATTATACAATTAGCTCCCGCAGTAAAGATTTGGATTCTTGGAGTTTTAATAGTCATGGATGTTTGAGAGTTTGGAGTCTTGTTTGTTTTTTATTGTTTTCTGCTTTCTAAAATAATGAACATATATATTTAATTGTTGTCTATGACCTTCACTTTAATTATATACAAGTATATGCCTGTGAAAAATCAGAACAGTATGCACCATAACATTTTTTCTCCTATAAGATTGCATCTTAAACACGAACAAACATTAACCAGAAATAATTCACTAAAAAAAAGTAAACGGCTATGGTGCGCGTTGAAGTACCATGCGTTTCGTCCCGGGCATACCTATTGGACTCGTCAGAAAGGCTTAGGTAGGCCCTACCTTAGACGTCAGATACTGTATTGGAAGTTGTATTTGAACGGGAACGGCGCAGATGTTATTGGGTGGGATATAGTTGGCATTTCGATTGGAGCTGCTACTTGAGAAGTGGATAGAGTTTGCCACACGACTTTCTCTGAGGTTAGGCGTCGCTATTCGAGTAAGGCCAGGCGGTTAAAAACCAAGTATGTGCATAGCGGCAATATGGTAGTGAGCCGCGCAAGCGCAATCAGCCAGGACTGGTGCGGACGGTTAAGAAAAAATATCTGTCGTCGGAGCATTGACAGGGGACCAGTGACATGCAAAGTTAACATCAATGGGCGTAATTTCTACATGTGCTATTCAATAACAACATGGAGAAAGTAAAATTACTATTTATTCGAATGAATCAAAACCGCCATATTTCGATCGAACGTACAAGTGCGTAAACGAAAATGTGACAAGTTGAACGGGTCACTGACACTATAAAGTATTTTCATTAAAATGTAACAGACATGCTTTTTTAATTAATTACGTAGGTTTATCGACAACTATTGATCATAATTTAAAGATTACTTACAATTTGTAAATTATAACTTCTTCTCTCTTTTTCGCAATTTCTTCTTAAATAGCGCAAATGTCAAACAAAATATGCTATTTATACAAACCATACCGTGGAAGGAGCGCTTAAATTTTTGACACTGATTGTTTCACTTGTTCATTCTTACAAAAGTAAGTACGCTTTTGAAAAATTACAAACGTCAAAACGTGACAATTTCAAAAATGGCATTGACATCAAATTTAAAATGTGAAGTTGATGCCTTTTATTTTGGGCTATTCGTGTTGATTATAACTTATATGTTTTTATTCGGATGTATTTCATTCGAATAAAAAATATTGTTCAATACGAGGGCAAAAATCCGTTTTTCGCCCTTGCATCGAAAACTATTATTATTTCTCTGGATAACAAGCAGTAAATTATTCGATTACAGGCATCATCGTGAGATAATAAAGGTAAAGGTCATAACTAATGATAATCTTACTGCCTTAATGTTAATAGTGGTGTGAAGGAAATCTAGTATGTACATTTTTTAGGTAAGCCACTAGTGTGATAACTAAAAGAAATGCCGCCCCTTTGTCGATACAGTAATAATAACGCCGGAAAAGTAAACGGCGGGTATCCAAAACAGTGATATTAGGAAATATACTGGCACGAAATGCAAATATTGGTGGCGTCATACACTGAATCATATAAAAAAAAACAAAAAATGATCTAGATTCCGTTATAAAGCAATTAGTTAGATTCAGATCGAATTGATAGAAAACATTAACGGCAATATGCACATTTAAAGAGTCGGTGGCTTTCATTGTAATAATAAAAGAAAATATTGATCATCCTCATATTGAGGACGAAGAACATCTCGACTTTTACAAACTATTATAGAGAGAGCAACTTTTGGCTG